TGGACAAAGGGAAATGTCTCCGAGAGAGTGCGTATGTTATTGTTCAAGAATATATATTTTGCTATTTAAAAATAAAAGGATAATTTTTGTTGTCGAAATGGAACTTGAGACATGTAGTATATAAAGTGCTCGAATCAAGTAAAAAGCAACTCTTGATAACATATAATATATAGAGTTTATTTGTTGGCAGCTCTCGATCATCATTCAATCGATATCTATACTCCTATATGGGGATTGCAAAAGCGGTTTTTGTACATTGCCATAGGAAGTAACGGGTGGGTCATAAAGAATGTCACCTTTTATATTTTGATGATATCTCGTTCGTTTTTCATCCTGGCTGATTAGTTTTTTTTCTAAATATTCCCCATTCAAAGCTCTACAAAATACATTATCTTTATTATCGAAAATATTCTCCACCATTTTAAGATACGCGATACAATCGATTAGTCCAAGATGCACAAATTTCAAAGACAACTTGTTGACGAATCTTTCCAACAACTCGTTTCACCACGATGATGAGAGTATTTTTCGACTTGACCTTATCCCGATTAGCAGCATGAGCAAGTTCATCCCAGCTTGAGTAGTCTAAAGGATTTAAATATGGGCTGTTTGAAGGTCAATGGTCCTTGTCGATAAATGATGGAAAATTGTCGTTGCACCATTGTTGCGTTAGATGATGGATATGAGGGTTTGCGCTATCTTGTTGAAATGTCCAATCAGTCCCCAGGATGTCGTTTCCGCATTTCAGAGCCACTGAAAGCACTTCTCGAATGTATCGGTCATGGTCGATCGTTCCTTCATCAAAAATAACGACTGGTGGCACTCCCTTGGAACACACAGCCAACCAAACCATCACTTTCTGAGGAAACTTTAGATTTTACTTTACGCCACCCTTTGATCAGCTTCGGCACGGCTGACTGTTAGGGATCAGCGGAGTCGCACTTGTTGATTCCTAATCCCGACCCGATTCCAACTCCGGCGAGAAATTTTTCCGGAATCCGACTTCGACTCCGGAAAGCCCGACTTTTTTTTGCAGCTTTTATGGTGACTAAACTATATGCCATTTCTAATGTATGAGTTTTTTTGAGTGCCTGGGGCCCCCCTTAGGGACATTAAAAAAATTGATGTTCGAATTTTGACTTGAAAGTTTTCATAGAAAGACTCGCTAAGGAGAACAATTTCTTGTGAACGTTTTAGACCTTTCTACTGTTCCTATCGTTAGACACGGATATTGTGAAATTTTTATTGCACATCTTGCAAATGAAGTAGCAGATTTAATGAAACAAATAAATTCAATGATCAAAAGCATTCAAGAAACACTACTCTCGTTGAGATGTATTGCTACATAAAATCTCAAGTTAAAATTCGAAAATCAATTTTCGAATGTTCTTGAAGGGGGCTACAGCAATAATTAAAAAATACAATAAAAATGGTCTATTTTCGTAACAATAAGCTATCCGCTCAAAATATTTTTAGCGTATTCATAACTCCTTGGGAGCTGCATAATCTAAGTAGTTTCAACGCAAAAGCGGTTGAACACTTGGTGGCCCTCCCTCGTTAGCATAATGAAACATTTTTCAACGAGAACTCATTTTCTTTCGAGTAGATACAACATCTCTTCAAAAATACTTTTAAAATTTGATATTGGTTTTTATTGCCAAGGTTCTTTTGAATTTTTACAATCGATCAAATTTTATTAATTAATATCTATCAATGAATTTTAATCAATGAAAAGTTCAAGAAAACTCCTTGAAATTAGAAGAGGCCAAAATATAAGTTTACAGTAATATCATAGTTGAATAAAAAAATAAAACAATTTTGATCGATATTAAAAATGCTCTAAAACCGAATGTAAATATTGAATATCAGCACGATCAACATTTTCCATTAGGTTATCAAGAAGAAGAAGAAGAAGAAGAAGAAGAAGAATATCCTTGGCTTTCGGCTACCTTTCAGTAAAGGGTGCTGTCCAAGGACAGTTTCATTAGCTCGATGTTTTCCTACAACTATTACTAGTCACAAGGTCTTTTTTAGTATATGCCGATCACATTGTCAGTGTGCTATTGAATGGGTGGTCCGAGACAATTAACCGTTAGTGACTTGTCCAAGGTCATTCTATAGATGATGGCTCCACGATTCGAACACATTAGGTTATCAACCCATTCTACAATTGATTACATGCTTTATACGTATGTCGAGGCCAAAAACGTTCTTGTATCTTAAGAATTCTTGAAAAATGAAAATACTTAATTATCAAGATTAACTTTAATGTTTTGGCATGCAGAAAAATGTAGCTATTGTTTTATTATATATTAAAATAAAGCGTAAAAAGTCAATTTCAAAAAATGTTCCGAAACGTGATTGTAGAAAATCAAGTTTTCATTCATTTTTATAATTAGCAAAAGTAATTAATTACAAATATTCTAATTCAAAGATATCGAAAAGTAAAAAGCTCTTTTATAAAATTCAAAGATTAAATTTCAATATTTTTATTAGAAACTATTATGTCATCATTAATACAACATATAAAAGTAAAATATTTTGTTTCTTTTCTCTGACTTTATTTTTATTTTTGGGTGTACAATATGTGTTAGAAAACTATTACAAAACGTAAATGGTCAAAATTAATAAATTTAATTTAGTCAAATAGAAGTTCTTCATTCAAAAACTAATATGAAAAGAGATTTTAGTGACAGAAAGTTGAGTGGAACATAAAACAAAAATTAGGCTAATTTGTACTTTTACTCTTTCTGTTCAGTAATATTTCTTGCTTTATTCATCAATGATAATCATAAATTATGATTAACGTAGTTATTCGGTATTGATAGAAATGATTCTTTCTTTTTTCATCGTTATATAATTATATCGATGATATAAAACAAAGAAAACGACAAATATTCGACGGTAATGTTGAGATAATTCAAGAGGACATAGAAGGTGGTGAAGGAAGAGCTCATTTTAATAATAGTCTGGTTAAGCATAAAAGTTTTTAGATGCTTATTGACAATGATAAAGATTGAATATATATTCATTGACTTTTTTTCTTTTTATATAAATAAAATAAAAGTTTAAATAAGATCAATCGAACTAGGAAATCCATTGTCTATTTCACCCGATTCATTTATTTGTTCGCCTGATAAATAATAACTTAATTTATAATTGAGTCGAGCTGATTCCTACAGAAGATAGAAAAATAAAAAAATAAACGATGAATTTAAAGGTAACAATCATCAACTAACTTTATTTGGATTTGATACAATTAAAATTTGTGTAATAGCTTGTGCTGGTAATATTGGATTGTATACAGGCAAATCACTTGCTGATGGATTTTGTAATTTAATTCGCATATTCTAGAAAAATATTTCAAAATTAAAGTATTTTAATCGATAGACAAAGTAAAGATCTTTACTTTAGGTACAGCTGCTTGAAAATGAAAATTATTAATTGCATTTGAAGTATTTGTATTAGTAACAGATAATACACTAACAATAACATCTGGACGAGGAGAATCACGAGCAATATGAAGAACACAATGAACACCTGTTTGATGAATTAATTTTATATTTATCGATGGATTAACTGATGAAGGACGAATCGATTCAAGAGATATTATTGGAAATACATATTCAGTTTCTAAAGATTTTAATGACGAAGAACCTTTTATTTCATTTAATGGAATTTTATTTTGATTTGAGCCTATTGTTTGAAATGAACTTAAAATAAACATATATTTTAGTGTAAAACAACAAAATTTATTTAATATTTATACGTTTTAGTTGACGAAATCTTTTGTCCTGTCGATTGATCAAAAAGAAGATCTTGCAAATCATGAAAAAGTTCGCCTTTTTTTGTGGTTGCTCCTTCATTTGTATTTGTTATTGATGAAGCTTAATAATAAAAATATTTAAATTCAATCAAATATAAATAAAATAATTAAAAAACGTGTATTACTTGTTTTATTTGCATTTGTTATTGGAAAAATTGGTAAACAATCATCAATTGGATTAAGATTTCCAGTTGAATTCGATGATTCTATATGAATTTTATTATCAGAACTGACCGCTATTGATCCAAATAGTTCATCAAGTTCATTTGTGCTAGATTTTATGTTATTGGTTGGATCTATATGAATATAGTTTATTTACTTCAAATAAATGTTAACTGTTGGGAAATAAATAAAATATGACAATATTCGTATTGAGATTTTCACAAATTGAAAGTGAAAATAAAGGAATGAAAATTTTACTCAATGCATATCTCGTAAGATGTACAATATGTCAATAATGTGAAAGAAAGATGCTCATATTCGATTGAATAAAATTTTATAATTGTTGCATTTTATTTAGTAATCATTATTAAATCACTATGTGAATTGTCAGCTAAATCAATTAATGTATGCGGATCAGAACTGGCTGAAACAGGAAGAATATTATCAAATAAAGGAAGAACAGTATCTAGAACAAAAACATAAATAGATGTTGTGTTCAATTTGCAAATTAAAAACAGACCATCTTTATTATCATTGTCTTGTCGAACTAATCGATCATATTGTGCCAACACTCGCGATAATGAATCACTTGCAGATAATATTTCACCTGAATAAATTGAAAAATGAAAATGAAAATGAAAAACAAGTAAACAAACCGAGTCCTTCATCTCCATCTTCACTTTCAGTTGCTAATCGAAACAAAATAGGTCGAAATTTTTCTAATTCTTCATGTAAGTACTAAAAAACGAAAATAGAACATAAAAGTTCAAAATCAAAACACAAGCTAAATCAAGGATTGTACAAACACTCATTGTTTCCTTTTCAGCTTCAGTAACCGTCGAATGATTATAATGTATGAGCATTTCAGATAAAACTCGAACATTATTTTGAACTTTTTCTAATTCAGTTGCTCGATTTGATAATTTTTCAATTTTTTCTTCATCCTTAATTCATACGAATTAAAATAAGAGAAAAAAATGCTTTGAAAAGTGAAACCTTTTTCACAAGACTTTTAATCAATGCATTCGCTTGTTCAAGATCTTCAGGTTTTCGACTTTTTAATAAACGTTGAAGAGTCTTAAAAATAAAAATAAATGTTTTTGTTTTTTTATGAAAACAAAATCTAAAAACAATAAATTTCTTCTAATAACTTTGCTTTTTTCTTCATCAGCATCAAATATTGATTTAGTTTTTTGAGGTAAAACTGTTGTTGATGATTTAATAACATAAGTAGGATCTTCAGTTATAATTGATTGACGTTTTAACATTTGATATGCTTCATTTATTTTAGTTTCACTTGGTAAACTTTGTGTCCACGAATATAAAAGTTCAATAACTTTTTTCTTAACTTTTTCTGATGTATGATTTGCTAAATACTGAAAAGAAACGAAAAGAAGAACTTTCTTTTTCTTTTAAATTAAAATTAAATAGAAATGATACTACTTTAGGTGAAACAAGTTTAATCATTTCATTGAGAAAACGAAATTTCCCAATTTCTTGATGAAATCTTCTTCCACAACGTTGAACGCAAACGTCAAGTAATTCTAATGTTCTTAATGCTTCATATTCTTGTGGGGATTGAATTTTATGAGATATTAAACGAATTGCTTGATGATGACCTTCGGGTTCTGAATTGACTTTTGAACAGAATAAATTTATTAAATTTGGATCTGCACTTTTATGAATTGCACTTGTTGCTTTAACTAAAAGTTTTAATTGATTTTTCTTCAAAACAAAATTATATTTTGAAATCTAATATAAAAAAATAAGCTCTCTCACTCTTTCTAATTGCTTAATTAATGTATAAATCTATTGAATTATAATCAAGCAAATATTATTATTTACTACGACATTCTCGGGATTATATTTTATCTTAATGCCATTATAATTCGGAAGCAAAACAAATGTAATGTACAATTTTAGGTATAAATTTAAGAAGACGATCATCAGTTCAAAAACTTAGAAACATTTCAGAGATCCAACAGTACACATCTGCCACTCAAATTTATTCTTTTGATATGTTCTAAAAACATAAATGATATACTTATAGTTGAATAATATCATCAATAGTCACCAATAAAATAAGTATGTTATCTTTTATAATATTCATATTAAAATGACATGTTTTAGAAAGTAAAATGCTTCATCAATCTTTGGAAAAAAGCATTTATTCAAAATCATGAGTTATCTTCTTAGATTTACATAGATATGAATATTTAAACTCTTGATTAAAATCACAGTAGATTATTCTATATTCGAATGTCATTGATAAAAAATAACTTCTACTTCAGACACTGAACATTAATTGTTCAAAATTTTCAATTTCCATTACACTACAATTAATTAGAATTCTATATGATCTGAAACTGGTAGATGTTTAAAATTTAACTATGATACAAAAATTTCCATAGATTTATATTCTTAAACTGACGATAAAGTCAAATATATTCTCCGACAAGGACATGTCAAATGAATCCAATAAAAAATGTGACTTATTTTTCTAATGTATTTGAAAATCGTAAACTTTGAAATAGTTATTTTCTAGTAAAAGTTATTTATTGAGAAATGTTATTTTTAATTCTGTTTTATATGAAATAAAAAAAGAACTTACAAAATATAGTTTCGAACGTATCGACAGGTGGAGTTGCCGTTATATTGCTCGCTGTTGAATTCATTTTAGGAAAAAAATCTAAAATAAAATAAAATCAATGAAAAAGTTTTAATTATCCGATTAGGATTCTCTTTTATTTATTGATCATTATCTATCTGAACAGTTCCAAAATACAAATGAGTATTTAGCAACCATTACCGAAATTCGACTTTGACACATCTCACACTTTAAAATTAAACTCAAGGAAATCCTTAAAGACTGATAAATAAGTTTTTCAATATCGATTAAATCAACAGTGAAATTTGATAATTGAACCTTGTTTTAGTGCGAACAAATCATTAAATATCCATATTTGTTACGTTTCTTCCTTCGCTTGTTTGTCACGACTCAACGAGAATGACTCATACGTATATCTAAACAGCATGCATGCGTGCATTTATTTTATTTCTTATGAACTGTGGTTGATTTAAGCAACCAAGCATTGCCAATCAATCTATTCATTAATCACAAGAGTGAAGTACAATAAATATCAAGATGTTTTATTTTATGAAAACTGTTCAAATAGATATATTAGAAAGTCAATTAAATAGATGTCACTCTCATTCGATTCTTAGACAACTGAGCCAAATGCTGGGCTATATGATATACAGTTTTCTCTTCTTTTTAAATTCTTGCTTTATTTATATTAGACATTTAAATATTCTTTTTGTTGTCAAATGTCTCAGTGGATTTTAATTTTCTCAGAGAATTTTAAAAAATCTAGAATAAAAGAATTATTTGAAATTGAAAGGCATCCCAACGTAATCGAGATTTCAAAAATCAAGAAAACCATAGCTACTGAAAAGTCTTTCCAACATTCACAGCTGTATATTTTTTCTTGAATTTAACGTGGGAATTTATATGAAATATTATGAAAATTCAATACGAATTCGTCTAAACAAAGCGACAATAATTAGAGCCACATCAAGACAATAGAACAAGACATTCATAGCAGTCGATGAATGCATTCAGAAATCATTTCAATGGACAGATTGTCTACTTGGATCAGTCATATGAGTGAGCGCGAAGGAGTGAGTGAATCGAATTGGGCATCATCTCCTGCTTTTGAAATTTAACTACTGAAAGCCTCTATTTTTGACACTCTTCTATATTTTGAATTCTTGACTAGTTTCTGTTTTCCGAGATAAATCTTTATCATTCATATATGATGTTTACATTTACATTGAATCAGTTGCCGATAGACCGTTCTTTTAACGAACGCTAACTGATACTTAACAGCTCATTTCAATAAGTATAACAGTACTAATTCATAGCCTTTTCCGAAACCATCCAAGAATAAAAATTGTGTTGATCTCTTATTGAAAATATCAATGTATGTTTGAGTACTCAATTCTACGACACATGGTATATCGCTGACTGACATTTTTCCATTTTTTATTGAAATAATAAAATGATCTTTATATAATATACGGTTCAACGCTTATTAGTCTTGCTTCCACTAGTCGGGATTGATTCCACACATCTCTAGTAACATAAAAATTATTTAAAACTTAAAAAGTTAATGAGATAAAGTCGAGTTTTAAAACAAATTAAAACCTAAAAGAAATTGATGGTATTATTTTGATAATACATTTCAGGCTTTTGTTAAAATCATTTCTCTCCTGAATATTAGTTATCCATTTCAAATGAAAAGAACAATACGTATTCTTCTGTGGTTGTAAATATGTAAAAGACGAAATAAAATTGCATTGAATCTGGTATACTAGATTTTTCTAAAAATGTTTTCTCTCAGTCACTTGCCAAGTTACTTTTTTAAAGTCGACGCTTCTTAACAATTTTAGAATTTTAATTTTTTGTCCAAAATCTGCCAACAGCCTCTAGTCAAATGTTAATACTCAGTCGCGTTGGCTAAACATTAGTTAACGATTGTGGAACACTAATGAAAATAAAAATATCACGCATGTTTGCACGATACAATGCTTTCTACTTGAGAAACTTAGTTGGTAGACCTGAAAAAACTTTCTCAAAAATCTAGTATCCAAGAAATTTTATACAATTTGATCTCTTCTTTTGAATGATGGCAATCGCAGGTATCTATCTAGTATCTATATCTATCAATAAAACTTCTTTAAAAATATACTTGTGTTTCTCTTACTAGTTTGAAATCAATACTTGTTACGTGTACATGATTTAAACTAGTTATATAAAACAAAAACTTTGCGTAGTACTACACTAATTCAGTTTTCACAATGAATATTATATGGCGAATTTGATTATTATTTATTCATTTTGAGCCATTGACGCAACTTATTATTACTTTGATTATATCCAAGTTGTAATAAATCTTAAACGTTGATTTCTAAAACTTGACTATCACATTCTTATGCTTTTTTATTGCTATTGTGAACAAAGAAAACATTCATTGTTATTATGAAATTGAATGATTCTGCATACGCTATAATTTTTATCGATAGCTACCAAAAAACAATGAGATAATCTTTAGCATTTGATGAAATATTGTTGTACATCAATTATCGATCAGAGATTTCTTTTTTTACAAATCAAATTAAAAGGAAAATAACTATTGGATTAGAATTATCTTTCGTTGAAAATCGAATGAAATAAAAAAAACGATCAAATATCAATTAAAGTCTTATCAATATAAACCAAACAAAAAAGGATAAAAGAACAGAGGATCTTCATTCGATTTGTTTAATATATAAAAATGTCTTTTCGTTTATATTTTGCTATACTTTCTATTGGATTTCTAATTGAAATTGAAGGTAAAAGCGCGCCAAGAGTAAAATTATCTGGTCGTATAAATCATTTACTTAATATAACTGATGCTGAAAACAAATTTGATACTGTCTTAGAAACATACATCAACAGTGATTGTACTTTATCGATTTATAAATCCGAAATGAAATCATTTACTGACAAATTCTTGTCGTTTCAATCATTACGTCCTCATATTGTTCGAATCTATCGAGATCTTTATACATTATCAGATGTCAATGGAATGATTAAATTTTATACATCATCATTAGGAAAAAAAGTACTTGAAAAAGAAGTTCAAGCTGAACTTCGTCTTTCTCAATTAATTAAAAATAAACTACAAGAACAAATGCCACAAGTTATTTCATGGTTTCAACAAGTATTTTTCACAAATGTATCCAATAATGAAATTAATTAAACAATTCATTGAATTGATTCAAATAAAATTGTATTAAAACATTTTTCTTGTTATATTTAAAATTCTGAAATATTGAATTATTTCAGTTTTTTTATATTTTAATTTGCCTTTTTCTCTTTTTGATGAATTTCTTCTTTTTTTAATTTGATTGAATATTTAATCGAATTCTTTTTATGATAACTATATAATTTAAAGAGCATTATTTCAAAAATACATGAATAAGATTGATATAATCATATTTCAAAAAAATAAATTTTATAGAACTATTGAAATAATCATTCATGTATAATAGAATAATCGGAAAGTTGATTTTGTTTTATTAATAATCTGATAGTTTTGATTTGAAATCTTGTTACTTGTTCAAGATTTCAATGACCCCTCATTCATTGATTACTTCACAAATCTTTTGTTTTTGAGAAAATATAGTAAATTAATTTTTTTTCTCCTATGACATGAATTAACGTATGTCATCGTGCATTATAGATAATATCGGATATTTGTAGAACTTTCAATGACTATTTTGCATGCCGTTAAAAAGTGTGTCAAGATGTAGAATAAAATGGTATTCATTTTTCTCTTTCTTTTGTGTTTTATTAAAATTTGCTTTTTATACGAAAGTGTACTTTTACAATTAGAAAGACAGTTTTCTAAAGTTTTTCGAATCATTGAACTCATGAAAATTTCTTATTTAAAAATAAAACGTGTAGGAAACAAAATCATAAAAACATTCTCATTTCCAGAACTGTTTCTCTTCAGTCGTAACATACTTTGAAGTTTCGTACGATTTGGATTGTTTTCTATCTCGACTATTTCCCATTAATGTGTAGGTTTCTAACAACAACAACAACAAAAAAAGAATGGAACAATATTGTATTAATCGACTAATTGATATATTAGCAAATGAATTGTCTTGAATGCAATAATTCCATATAATAAGATTTATGAAATGTTTATGTTGCGCAATTTTGAATTGTATATTTCATTGATTAATTTCAATGTTTGTGAAAGCGTATCTTTATTCACACATGAAAATCGATATTGGAATTTCAAATCTTTAAAAATTATTCCAACAAGCAAAAGAAACAAAACTTTCTAAACTATATCGATTGACATACACAAATGATTCCTAGAGAAAAATGTTAATTTCAACGAACTAGTTTTTAGAACTATTATTTCGTATGGCTTTTTTTTCTTACTAATGAAAATGTTCAACTACATCTTACATTATTAGATAACTACTTGAATCATAACAGTCGTTCTATTGCTATAGACGAAATTAATTAAATAAAAACAATTTCATACCTCACTGTAACTATATAAATAGAAATAACTAATCATTAATTAGTAATTTTCATTCAGGTTTTGCCTGAAATTGTTCGAAAATAAATGGAATTCAATTGAAAACGACGTAAGTATTAATATATCGATTAGGTTCGAACAAAAATTTGTTTTATATGCAAAGAAAATGATCAAAGAGATTCTTTTCATGTTGTCTTTTTCAATTGGTTTCAGTAGCCGTAGATTTATTTGAATAACACTATTCAAACGAGGTTGACTGACAGTCAACCCGTTGTTTTAAAAATGGTCAATATGAAGAAAATGAGCGGCCACTTGATTTTATTCTAAAACAAAAATTGAAAAAGAAAGTTGAACATACTTGTTCAGATCTTGTCACAATCAACAAATAATCAAGACGGAACAAACAAATACTTTTGTTATTCAACAACAACACTTTTTTCCTGCAATAATAATTCACAAAAAAAGAAAATGCGAAAAGATGATATTGTACATATGTTTGTTATTCAAGGTAACATATGTTTTATGTAACAAAAGAAAAACGAGTTTTTAATGAAGAAGACGAAAGACAAATAGAGATAATTTTTCTCATTTATCATTATTAACAGTTTTACCCGCCTGTTTTTATTCAATTAGAGATTTTTTTCTATGTCTTCTTATCAATCGATTTATCGTTCCGTTTAAATCGATTTTAGCTTAAAGGTGTAGTTTCAAGTCAATTGATCAATTATCATATTGACTAAAAGCAAAATCACCTTCGTTTTCATTTTTTTCTTCTCTTAAAAGAAAAAAAAATCTTTAAAATTACAGATGAATGATGATAAAGAAAGTTAATCTACACTTGACTTATTAACGACAGCCGAGAAACGAATCGCGTGCATTTCATTTCTTATCACACTAATTGCAAATATACACTTCAACTCATATCTTTGTTTATAGACACACGCCATGCTGATCAATCAAACACATCAGACTACCGAAAATTACATTGATTTCGATCTTGGAAATGACACCCTAAAAAATAAAAACTAACTTCCCTATATAGCCAACACCCTATATTGACTCTCATTCATTTTCTTTTATTAAATTCATAGTGCACTACAAAAACAATAATTTGTTTTTACAATTAATTGTTATGTCAACATTTAAAAACAAAATAACAATGACTATTTCATCAACGTCGACCTTTGGTTTTTTATTAAAAACCCACGGTTCGTTTAGATTAAAAGTGTATTGCTCTATTTATTTATTTTTCTTGGTTATGACGAAAAAAATAAAATTTTAATATTTTGATTGGTTGACTATATCGATTGTCGGTCATATACAATATAATAATAAAGGAAGAAATGAGCGGAAGGGAGCGATCATGCGCTCTCACAGTAGTTTGTTATTTGCTCATACGTCCACTTGTGGTCCGACATGCTTTTCTATTCTATTGGAATTCTGCCGGAACTAAACTTATTCCACTCTTAGAGAATGATTAAAAAAAAGGCGCGCTGATCGAAAAAGAATCTGTATATATTTACATAGGAGTAGAGTATCTTTTAATCTTCTGTCTATTGAAGAGAATGAATAGAAACGAGTGTCACTGAAAAATAAGTTATTCTTCTCATCTCTCTGTCTCAATTGTCAATGTTGATAAAACAATTTCACAAGTACTTAAGCTTCTCTTTTTTTTTTATTCTTTTCTGATTAACTCAATATGGTCAATCGAATTTTTTAAAGTGTCAATTATCATTTGATCTTTATTTTCAATTTCATTTTCATTTTCATTTTCATTTTCTAATAGGAAAAAGAATAAGAAATAATCATATGAAGATGAAGATAAGCAGAGGAAGAAACAAAAGATTTGTCAATCTATGGAAAGGTGCTTATCTGTCGTCAGATATCGATACATCATTATGTAAAACAAGCGTATGAATTGTATTACGATGGAGACTGACAAAAGAAAAGAAGACACATTGCTTGTCTCATCAATCATCTTGACTTCTTCTATGAGTCCAATTAAACAAGCAGATCTTCCCTAATTAGACTCTAGAAAAAAAACAATGTCTGCATATTGTTGTTTATTCGATGGCCATTCCATGATCATTATCATCATCGTCATCATCAACAACATCATCATCAGACATATATGTATATATAGACAATTACATCATTTTCTTTAAATCAATATGTGTTATTTGACATTAACTACGTGTCTTATCTTCAAAGTTAAAAGGTTTCGACACGATCTAAATGATTCTTAACACTTGAATAGACAAAAAAGAAGAAGGAAAGAAAAAGAGATTCGTTTTAAGTAAATTCCATTTATAAAAAAAAGCTAAGTGAGTTGCAGATGGTGAAAGACAAACATAATATTGAATGTTTATGTTCTTTAGTTTTTGTTGTTGATAAGTAAGAGTAACTGGAGAATAATTGTCTCCATTTGAGTCGATAAATGCAATGTTTGCTTATTGAAAAAAGAAGGAGAAGGAGAAGGGAATGGCGTCGTTGTCGTCATGTTGATGTTGACTTAAGAGGGTGAGGCCACTCTCTTCTCTCTTCTATAATGACTCGATGATTTACTTAGGGCACTATTCTTCATTATTAGTGTTGCTTTTTTCTTTTCTCTTCTTCTGTTTCTTTTGCTTCTTCTTCTTCTTCTTGTTCGTTTTCTTTATCCAATAAGAAGAGAAAAAGTTTCTTTCTTTTTTTTCTTTCACCCGTTGGCGATGTTAACAAGGTACTCGAACAAGAATGTAAAACATGGTGTCTCGTTCGAATGTCAACCAATGAGATTTTTTTCTTGAATAGTTTATCGACAAATAGGGTGGATGAGAGAAAAGAGAGTATCAATCGTGTCTACAACAAGAAACAATCTTAGTTTTTCTTTTTCTCTCCTTTCTCTCTTGTTCTTATGCCTATTCGTTTAACAACATATTAACATTGCCAACTACCAAACATAAAAAAAGAGAAAGGCAACAACCAAACACTTGCTTCTTTTTTTTCTTCGTTTAATTATGTAAGTTTTATCATGATAAAAACATTTGACTTAACATTTACAAAACAATTTCTATAGGATAACCGGTCTTAATCCATCTGATACAATTAAAGTAAAGTTCTGTTTTAAATTTAATAACATATATATATATATCTATAGAGAGAGAGAGAGAGAGAGGGAGAGAGAGGGAGAGAGAGAGAGACAACAACAACAACGAATATTTTTATTTAATTGAAGGAATCAAATGTAAATATGAATTCGTTACTAAATGTAAATGCATGGCGTCATCATAATCCATATGTATATGATCCTGCTGCTGCTGTTGCTCTTATTGGTTATTCACCATATGGACCATCGTAAATATATTAATAGAAACTTTGTGGCACGACCAGAATATGATTTTATTTCATTTAGTTATTCTCCACATATGGATTTAGCTGGTAGACGAAAAAATGCAACACGAGAAACAACAGCAACATTAAAAGCATGGCTATATGAACATAGAAAAAATCCTTATCCAACCAAATCAGAAAAAGTGTATTTAGCTATTATGACCAAAATGACATTAACACAAGTTTCAACGTGGTTTGCTAATGCTCGAAGAAGATTAAAAAAAGAAAATAAAATGACTTGGTCGCCAAGAAATAGGTTAATTTGTTCATTATTAAGATGTATGTTTGTAATTTTTATTTTTGAAAAAAACTAGAACGAACGATGATGA